TCAAGGCGGTATATACATAATTTCTAAGACTAAGGAACGCAACAGCATTTATGCTATTATTCCATACTGATTTCATGCACCATACTCAAGACTCAAGAGTTCTTTAATGTTAATATATCCATGTACCAGTACAGTGTTTTGAAATACCATTTTCCTTGGGCCCCCTATGCTACACATAAATACAAATACAAAAAATAGATGTGTAACATCAACAACACAATACAGAACATAAATATAAACATAACTATACCCAGCTCCAATCTCCACAAAAACTTTAATATAACAAATTTGATTTGCACAATGTGAGAACTCCGGAAAGCTCTTTAGTGTCATTTGACTGGACAGGAAGGGCTTTGGGTGCTAATGTCCTAGTTTTACATAACTATAGATAGATACAGCATTTGTGGGGCCAACATGTTGTCATTAAAATTGAAACCATTCAGTCCTCAAGAGGAATAATTACTGCGAATAACTACAGAAAGAAAAAGAAACAGACCGAAACGGCTTGATAACTGTGTAGAGACAAACCTTTCTTTTATTTTAGAAAAAAAACTTGCAAAATACAGTCATTCAGCTGACTGTTTGATTTAAAAAAATCAAAAATGTCTCCAGTGTACATGGCTTGATTTTATCGGAATAAAGTCGACCCAGGGTTATGATCCATGACCTGAGTTACTACAATGCCTGCTACTCAGAGGTGGTACATTATAATATACAGTATATATAACCTATAAGAAATATTTCATTTGTAATCGCATAGTACACTTGTACAAGGAATTAAGTGATATAAGGCTTTGAGAGGTGCTACTGCCAAATTACTCCAAAAATCTAAAGATGGAGGAAGTGCAAAGGAACATGCTAATATGGAGGAAATCAGCATTAATAAAGCCTTGGGGGATGGGTGCAGGTGGGCATGGGAATGTGCCTGGTCTGGGCAGGGACAGGGGCTTGAAATAGCCAGCGCCATGAGGAATGCCAGCTGGTCACTAAGTACAGCGCGCTCCCATTCATCTGTCTGCCCGAGCTTCTAATCCAGCACATGGTTACAGGGAGTCGGAAGCCTGTCCACAATGCACAGGGGCAGGGGACACCCCGGGTGGGATATCTGCCAATCACGGGGTACATAGGCAGGGGACACCCTGGGCGGGATATCAGCCAATCATGGGGCACATAGGCAGGGGACACCCTGGGTGGGATATCAGCCAATCACGGGGCACATGGGCAGGGGACACCCTGAGTGGGATGCCAGACCATCACAGGGTACTCGTGCACACAAACACCCACCCACCCACACACTCACACGCACACTGTGGTCAATTTCGAGAAGCCAGTTTAGTGACCATATGTTCTTTGGACTACAGGAAGAAATCCACATGAATAGGGGAGAACACGTACACAAACAGGAATCAGACACAAGGAGCACTGCAGGTTTAAGGCCACTGTTTGTTTCTTATAAGATACTTCCACAGTTTTTGCTCCAATCTGATAACATGCACACAAAGGAGGAAGTATTTCCTGTCCACAGGAAGTGGTGGGTAATGTTGCCTATTACACTAAACCAGTTTGTCGCCATCTCCACCTGCCCCGACCAGCCCGGCTGCCCCTCCCCCACCTCGCACATGCTTCCCATTGGTGAAATCCCCTCTCGGCCTCTTGTTGCCAAGACACCACTTCCTCCATTCAAGATGGTGCCATCTGGACCACGAACGGAGCAGCCCTCCAGGAGGGCAGCTGGGGATATCCCTAAAAAAACAGCTAATAACTGGAGTGAGCCTTGTGTTTGTTTCTGTGTTTGTCCCTGTAGAGCTTTATTTGTGTATGTTTGTGCACATATGTGTATGTGTGCATGCTGTGTGGCATTGCCGTACACCAAAATGAATCTGAAAGCTGACTATTATTAAAAATCCGTGTCTGTTAACTGGACACAAGCTGGCTGGAAGATTCCCCCGCCGGGGAGGAGGGACAAGTGTCCAAGCGGAAATAAACCACTATGAAAACACAGGAAGGTCGAGCCCAGCCTCGGTCAGCTGGCAGCCCAGCCCCTCTAAATAAAGCGATACATAAAGGAACTGCTTCAGGCCGTCACAGCACTGCATCACAGCACTGCATCGCAACACTGCATCACAGCCAATCAAGCCAAGCGCCAAAGCACTAAGTGAGAGACTCATCTCAGAACCCCCTGAGAGCAGAGCCACTAAGCATGACCCTTTGGATGGTGACCATGCCAGTCTCCCTGCCTTCTTGCTGCCATCACGGTGCAGCTTCTTAGATACTTGGATTGATTCTCCAAGAAGAGAAATACACTGATCCATCAAAACAGCACAGCGCCATCTACTGTCCAAACTCAGGTTACAAGCTGCTGTAAGGACCACAATATTAGGTTTTGATAATGTTAACAAGGTGGGTCTGATTAACATATATAAAAATCCTACTACAGCAAGTCGGATAGGGGGAACACAATTGGATGGATTGGTGGACGAACTGGAAATTGATAAATACATAAAATAAATCGGGGGCAAATTTAAAAAATAAAAATTGTAAAAAAATTCTGGATAATTATTTTCAAAATGTTATTCCATCATTCAACATTTGCAATGGAACAGAATGTTCACGTGTTATACTGACACTGAATCACAAAAACAGGCTGCACCCCAGTAGTACAAATACCTGTAATAACTGGGTCAAACAACACTGTACATTAGGCCCAAAGAATTAAGGACCCAGAAACGAGTGTCGCCTCATATAATGACAGTCCCTCAAAGCTAGGTTTTTTTTTAACCCACCCATTTTGGCACAGAAGGGTTCTGAAACCACATGGGCACACGTGTCTGCCATACTTATGGCCATTACACATGGCTAAGAGCTGCCCTGAAATAGCTCCATAGTCCACCAGTGGAAAAACCCAGGACTGGGTGTCAGAGTCACGCAAGACGCAGCTTCAGTATAAAAGGCAGAGTCCCTTCAAGCTCAGTGGGCAGAACTCTGGAGAGTGACTTTCCCTTGCGGTAGCAGAGCCAGAAATAACTTCCATCATTAGTTAAATTCACATGAGCACAATCCGTGACAAGGAAATAATGACAACTTCAAAGCCTACGTACCAAGAGGGCTAAAATGTGGTGATTCTCTTTAGTTTTATTCTAAAAAAGGATAGCGTTCAATTTCAGTTACCATGTCATTAAATTTTTTCCCTCATTGCACAGTGATCTATATATAAATGCCATTGAATAGCAGTCATGCAGTAATTATACAGTAAGTACAGTAAAATGCTAAAACAAAGCAGCAGTTTATATGATTTTTGATCTTGGCCAGCAGCATGTAGATTCTGGGGGGTTGTACAGGAGCAGCTTGTGTTTATGGGGTCTATAAACAGTGCGAACTGTACAGGCCTTAGGAAACGACTGCATGGCCAAGGGCCCAGAAGGTACGTTCCTCTGCCAAGACATCTGATTTCAAAACATTGAGCCCTTGTGTTATTGTCAACAGCTCCCCACCCCCGGAACCAGCAGCTCAGCGCAGGATTTCCTCCAGACACAAAGGTCCACCTGAGGCCAGGGGAACGTCTCTGGGACCATGTGACACGGCGCATCTAGGCCTCAGGTTCCGCTGTTTCTTTTTCTGCTTCCAGGCCATGTGTACAGAAAGGAGCCAGTTTAACCCTGGAGATACTCAAGCAATCATCTCAATGCCAGACGCTCCATGAACATTAAAACTATTTGTTAGTATCTAAGACTAAGACAAAAACTATTGCAAGTCTTGCAATAGTAATGGAAAACAAGTGTACTATTAAAACTTCATTATTAATACTGAATTATGGTCAAGTTGGAGCTGAGACACAGACAACTATGGGCCCAAGGAGTTTTTTGTAGGAGAAGCACATTTCTCACTTAAGAAGAAGTAGGAGGAGCCCAATTCTCACTAAACTTCACCTGCTGCTGACATCAAATCACCAAAATTAAAGGAAAAAAGCTCTTAATAAAAAAATCTAATTAAGTTGCTTAGCTGCTGCATTGACATAAAATGGTGTACAGTTCTTGGTCATTTGTTCAGTTGGGTATTTTTCAGAAGCAAATGAAAGTGTGTATCTTGCTCTAGGGTATTTGAGTTAGATAAAACCTGAAATGTGTAGCCTTGATCAAAGTTACCAGGTTTGGTATCTCCTGGATGTTGTGCTGGTTGCACCTCGAGCAGGCAAAGGCTTACCTCTCCGTAGTCTGTGGTGAGGACGAGATCACCGTCCTCACAGGAGCTGACTGTGCACGGAAGCAGCTGTTCTCTGTGTCTGACCCAGGCCCGGGCCCCCTGCAATACAGTGACACGCCGATTCAGGGTTGTGTTTACATGACACCTTAGTTGACCACCATTTTGGACCCGTGTTTATACTAAAACAGTCATACACTGATTCACAGCTGAGTCAGACCTTAGGACACGGCTGGGTTTTGAGAGCATGTTACTGTCACACTGATAAACGCCCAGTTGCATGTTCACCACAGCCTGCTGGACACTGCACAGCGGGATTCAGCTGAAATTACATGGTCACGACTTATGAAGGACTTAAACCAATTGCTGTGTTTACTCCAGTTCGGGGCAGGGCCTGTGAATTCCCTGTGTGGGAGGGGATCATATATCATCACATATATCAACACACACACACACATACACACACACAGGGAGTCTTCCTCGCTTCATGTGTGACTGCACATCCAGACAGCTGTAATTCCGCCTGCCTGTGACAGGTATGCAGCTCCACAGGCAGAGACAGGTAACCGTGTGACTCACAGGTACTGGGGTGGGGCGGTGGGACTGTTCCATTAGCATCCCACTGTGTAGCTAATCATATGCTGTGGTATAGTGAAACCCCAAAGGCAGGCAGAAATTGGAGCAGAGTGCTGACTGAACACTATACTCTGGCTTGGTCAGGAGTAATGTGGTCAGGAGAACAGTGAAGACTGTAGGTCCAGAAATTTTCAGATCTTTTAAACCAAGTATGCCCATGATTTCTGAAAATACCATAAATAAAGGATATTAAACACTGATGTTGCAAACACAAGGTCAGATATACACATGGGATTACATCTCAAGGCTGCTCCCAGAATCCGTCTCCTATCAAGCGGCTTATTCTGCAGATCAAGGACCCCATAAGCTCCTGTGCTTTAAAGGAGTACCACTGCAAAAGCCAGTGAACATTTGATATATACCAAAGAATCACTGTCATGTAGCTTTGGCGAAATCATGAATGAATGAACGTAAGACGACATAAAATGTTCAGTGAAAAGCAAGAAGAAATTGCGGAACAGATTGGAAATTTTGTTCCCTGAATAGAAGGTGTTCTTGGGATCGTGGGATGTTTCTGAGATAAAGCTGTGCGATTAGATTGAGTAAATCGCAGTCGGATGCCAGAAGGCACACTGCAGAATCTGCTTGGTGACACTTTCAGGATTACATGCAGCAAATTATGTTTAGCCATTACGTTTAATCATGCAATAAAGGAGTTTATATGCATATAAACGTCCTCTGTAATCGCAACAGAATTATGAGAGGATCAAAATAAGAGCAAGAGAAAAATGGAGACTATAGGTGTAGCCAGGAATTACATTGTCTATAAAAATGAAGACAAAGCAAAAAAATGTTTGCTACAAATGTTGACCAGTACCGACAACAAAGGTATTGGAAATAGATCATATTTCCTATACCACAGGAGGTACCTCCCCAATAAAACAGGTGTGTCCAGTAAGCTGATTCTTGACAGCAGCAGCTCAGTGGCTGGTTCACCCAGACTTTCATTATCTGCTCGCTCCACTTACGAGGTGCCGTTGTCGTAGAACCCTGAGACGTTGCCCTAGAATATTTGTAGGGGACAAGAAACTCTCCTGCATATATGCACCATGCAGAACATGCAAGCTACCGATGAGACCCTTTCCGGAAATTCCTGAGGAAAATGCCATTAGTTGTTTGATTCTTGGATGTCCCTGACCTTTTCTGACATGACTTTGAAGCAGCAATATTTAATAATGCAGAGGCAACAAGTGGGCCGGAGTCGATTTCCAAGGAGAACCCCCCCCCCCCCCAACCTCGCTCATGGCCCGGTCCGACCCATGCCATCACCTGCTCCATCGCTCCCTTTGCTCCCGAGTGGGACCAGGCCACTCTCACAGCCGCTCAGGTGTGCTAATCCCCCTCAATGCCCCCATTCAGCCGGACCGCGGAGTGTCGAACATACTGTTCACCCAGCAGCGGCAGCAGAGCAGCAGCATCAATGGGGCCAAGGTTCCACAAAGGAACCTGATGCAAGATCAGAGCTCAGTGACATCGATCCTCATCAATAATGGAGAAGCCCCTCGTGCCACACGATGAGGCCGGGACACACCAGCAGGAGCAGCCCGGCCCGCCACTGTCTCCACTTCAATGTGTTTCGTCCATTTTCCAAGCTGCTCTATTTTACCAACCTCAGAAGTCAGCACAACCCTGTTTCCATTGATGGGGGCTCCG